CTACTACTGCTGCGGCTACTACTACTACTACTACTACTACTAATAATAATAATGCTACTACTCCTGCTGCTGCCGCTGCTGCGTGTGCTGTTGCCGCTGCTACTACTACTACTACTACTACTACTACTTCTATTACTACTGCTGCTGCTACTACTACTACTACTACTACTACTACTACTGCTACTACTACTCCTACTACTACTGAAACTATTCACTGGTGCTTCCCACGAACGACAATGTCCCTGCTGACTGCCAGAGCTCAGCTGCGCGAATTTCGAAGCTACTAACAGCTTCGAAACATCAGCTACTAGGTGTTTCCAACTGACTGCTATGGATTCTGAACCGCAGTTCCTGTTCCTAACTACTACGATTACTGCGTTTGTGACGACCCCTCCGGCTACCGCCAACACCACTACGACGAGCTAGCAGCCACCTGTGATTGGACCTGCGGTTGTAGATTCCAGAGGGCGTTGAAAGGGAGGGTATCTTCACGAACATGATGACACTTCCAGACGCTTGCCAGGACGCTTTGAAAGGCTTCTTGTACGGAAGAGCAGACGTTCCCGCAAGCCTCAGCGTAGAGCTGTACCTTGGTGATGGCAACAAGATCACAGGGGCGGAGATCGCATCGAAGCCTCTGTTCATTTGGTATGACTATTTCTGTTGCCCACAAGCTGCCGATCAGACGGAGCATCGCAGGAAAGCCATCATCAGCATTCCGTCCTACATCGAGACTTGCCGCTACTTTGCCATTCTGTGCCCACATGTGCGCCACGAGGAGCATGACATGCTGTTGAACAAGCACACTTGGGCTGAACGAGGCGGAGCACTACATTCAGCGGATCCTGAGCCCACAAAGCTTAACACCGACATACCCAGAGAACCCAGTACCCCCTAATTAAGGAAGAAACCTTACATCAAAGTATTAAGGCCCCTGTAATTTAAGGCATAATATTCCTTCATTCCCTTATAGAAACCCTGATAGATCCCTTTAAGGAACCCTATAAGGTTTGTTCCTTAATTCCGGGTGTTGGGCTCTCTGGGTCAATCCGTATCAGGCCCTAAGGGTGCCCGGAACTCGGAACCCGGGTCCCAGAACGAAGCCGAGAACCTTGAGGTTTAGGGCTTAGGGCTTAGGGATTAGGGTTTAGGGTTTAGGGTTTAGGGATTAGGGTTTAGGGTTTAGGGTTTAGGGATCAGGGTTGAGGGTTTAGGGTTTAGGGGTGCCCCGCAAAAATAAGCCGAATATTTGGCACTTGAGGGTGTAGGCGTCCCGGGTGTTCGGCCTCAGTTTGCGGGTTTGAAGTCTGCCTGCAAACCGCTGCAGAATGCTTTAAGCATGGTCAGCAGGAACTCATCAAGTATCTGGTGGTTTCCGCGGTTTCGGGGTATCTTACAGGGAGGTGCATGTTACGAGGATGCCACCATATGTCACAATGCGCTTCCCTGCAACTCCCATCTACACCCTCCCAATTGCCCAACGATAGGTGGGATCCTGGTATGTGGCATGGGCCCTGCATAAGGTGTTTTCTAAGGTTCTGAAGCCCTCAAACGTCCCTGGAAGGTTGGTGTCGCTTGGAGCAGGTTTGCAAGGAGTTCAGCATGCAGGAGGCCACCTGCGACGCGATTGACATCCAGTATCTGGGACCAGATCTCCTTACAACCCAATACCCCTTACTTCAGGAATATACCTTGAACCATAATGTCAAGGCCCCTATGATTTAAGGAGCATTCATTAACTAAGGGGGTTTTGGGATCTCTGGGTCAGGGGGGGCTCCGAAGTATAGGGGATGCCCAACCTTTAAGGGCTTTGGGTTTCGGGTTTAAGGCTTTTTTTTTATATCCCTTGAACCTTACTTGGAGGATCATGGGACTTAGTAAGTAAGGTTATAAGTACCTCAATTTGGGCTATAATTATAGCTACCTTATTTATAACCCTAGTTACTAAGTCCCATGATCCTCCAAGTAAACCCTAGACTCCAAACCCCAAACGCTCAAACCGGCACAGCAAACCCAAGGCCCTAGACGTGAATAGCGGACTCGACCCTAAACCCTAAACCTCGGGCCCTAAACCCTAAACCTAAACCCTAAACCCTAAACCCAAAACCCTAAACCCTAAACTCTAAACCCTTAAAAAAACCCTAAACCTTCAACATGTTGAGTGGGGGGCAGTGTAGGGCCCCAGCGCTGTGCAAAGGAGCAGCATCTTTCAGACGCGAGCTCCGAGCTACAACTGGGTCAAGCAGCCCGTGGGTGAGGGCTTCTTCACCGTTCCTTGGCTTCGGGGGGCTCCCTAAACCCTAAACCCTAAACCCCTAAACCCCAAACCCCTGAACCCTAAACCCTAAACCCTAAACTCTAAACACTCAACCCCTAAACCCTAAACCCTAAACCTAAACCCCCAAACCCCCAAACCCCTAAACCCCTAAACCCTGGGTTTAGTTTTTAGTTTTTTGGAGTTTGCTTGGCTGTGCAGGGAGAGGTTGGTCATGGTGGGGTGCTCGGATTCTTGAGGCTTGAGCCTGCTTTGGGTTTTGAGTGCAGGGCCGCTTACGGTCTGACTTCTGCTCAACCGCGATTTAGAGTTCAGAGGTTTTCCGGTTTTTAGGTTTTTCGGGTTTTGGGTTTAACCCTAAACCCTAAACCCTAAACCCTAAACCGTCCCTTGCCGAACCCTTCACGGACGGAGTTGCCCTGTAGGGGCGGGGGACAAGAGCTTGCGCGGCTGCAGCTATCTCTGCTAGGTTTGGGTCTGGGGGTTTAGGGTTTAGGGTTTAGGGTTTAGGGTTGGCCCCCAACATTCCTGTCT